TGTCATTGTTATATTGTAGACTTGTTTTAACAAGAAGAAATCCTTTGTGGAAGTCGGGGGTGGGGGTGACACCAACCCTAGATACGCAAGAATTACAGCTAAACGTTTAATTAAATTGTGTATATTTGAGCTACTCATTGTTTGTTTGCTGAAGAAGGCTTCTTGCCAACATTTCTTTTTCTGTTGTTTTATTACGTCTTTTTTTTCAGGTTTTTCCCATACCCTGTTTCACATAGAGTTCTACCCACATAGGCTTACTCAGAATCTAAAATTAATTTTGAGAAACGTTGAAATTTTTAACTTTGACTTCATTATTTTTAATTTTTAAATTTTTTTTGCTGTTGTCTTTTTTGTTTTATAATTAAGATTTACAATGAAGATTAATAATACGACAACAACATTTTCCAAACGCTAGTTTAGACTGATTTAAAGGTAATAAAGGACTCAAGAATCAAAGACTATAACACGAACATTGTAGGCCTATAGCATAGATTAGATGAGTAGGCCTAATTGTATAAGAATATGTGCCCCCACTAATCAAATTAGCACCAAAAATTTTAAAGTGTAAAACTATCGGCATAAAACTATAGGGGAAAGAATGGAGAAGAAATATATTCTCAAAATACTTTCTTGGAACTGAGGTTTAAAAGGGCTTTTTGTTGTAAATCAAATAAACCATTTCCTGTAGACTGTAGGTTAGTGTTATATCTCTTGTTTTAACAACTAGAAGAGTTCCAGAATTTGTCAAGATGGCTGCTAGTTGTGAAAAATTAGATCAACTTGTTAAAGATTATCTTCTTTTTCGCGGTTTTACATCAACTTTGAAATGTCTGGATCAGGAACTGAAAACAGATAAAGATAAAGGTCTTAGGGTAATAATCTACTAATATCTCATTTATGTTTGTTGAGTGTTTTTGATGTAGACTAGGCTATCTTAATTTTGTTATTAAATTTTGGCTACTAATAATTGGCTTGGCCTATGCCTATGTATAATAAATTAATAATATACTCTATTTATTTATTAAATACTAATAATAAATAGTCTTTATTATTATTAATAGACTAGTATTGTATTCGTTCTTGTATTAAATTGGATGTAATTAAAAAATAGCTGATAGTAAGTAGGCTAAGGCTAAGTGACAAACTGAGTATGAATATCTATGCATTCATTCATTATTATTTTAACCCTTTCGCCAGTTTCGCTACCGCTGGGTTTTGGGCATCAATTTTTGCTGACTCGGCAATAAAAAACTTGAAGATGAAATTTTCGGTATATTTCATTCTCTATCCGATTCGCTTTTTAACTTCTCTATAGATTAACGAATAAGGAAATATATAGTATTATATAGTATAGCATTGAAATATGATGTCGACGTGAGGTCCTTGGTATTTCAGAAAAGTTCTTTGACTTTTTGTTATAACGACAATGTGAAGTCCTTGGTTATTGAAAGTGGGTGATCATGACGTCGCGTCGACGACATCGATAGCGAAGTGGTTAACTATCATGAGTATGAAGTATGAGGTTGTCTAAGTCTAATTATTTATTGTTTTGTGGGAGATGTCAAAAATGAGACAAAAATAGCATGAAATTGCAGCATGAAATCATTTATGGTTATGGATGGTGGATATGATTCGGTAAGCAGTACAGGAGGTTCTCCATGTCAACTACCGATCAAATAACGCAATCTGCGCCACTTTGAGTTTCTGCGTAGGATTCTCTCCCTTTTGCCTTTTGTTTTATTCTTTGGGGGGGGGGGTGGTTAAGAAAATTTTACCATTTTTGCTTACGTAATAAATGGATGGCCCATAAGTAAAGTGTACAATTTTCTTATTAAAGTCAATAATTACTTTTATGCCGTTTTTAACTAATCTTTATTTTCTGCGTAGGGTTCTCTCCCTTTTGCTTTTTGTTTTATTCTTTGGGGGGGGGGGTGGTTAAGAAAATTTTACCATTTTTGCTTACGTAATAAATGGATGGCCCATAAGTAAAGTGTACAATTATCTTATTAAAGTCAATAATTACTTTTATGCCGTTTTTACCTAATCTTTAATTGTTAGATAACTATTTTAAATAGAATAACACTTTGTCTACTATGTGTCTGATGACTAAAAATGAAATGGTCCGTCTATTGTCTTCTTACTTAGTCTTAGACTAGCTTTTCACTACGCTTATCCTACTTTTTTTCGGCTTAACAGGTAAGCCTATTGATAATGCAAAATACTAATTCAAATAATAGTAATGATAAAAGCTTACAGTATGAGTCGTAGTTCTAGCCTATTTTATGATTAAAGTAGAGGAATTCAGTTTTGAAACTTTACATTTGATACACAGATACGCAACCGCAGTACTTTGTTAACTTAGTAATAGACCCTTTTAAAAAATATGCAATATAACATCAAGCCTTTAAAAAATTAAAGGCCTAAGTTATTTTATTCAATTATTTTTTCGTATTTTACTTATAATAATAGTACAAAATTAACTCTAAATGCCATCATTTCAATTTTCATTGTTCAAAATATTCTTGACACCCCTTCTTCCGCACTTCGTTCGCTCAGTCCTATGTCACTGCATAGCTTGTTTTAGTATCTTTACCATATTAATACTGGTATAAATAGTATAATAGTCTATATATTCTAGTTTTAATAAAATACCCAACAGCACCTTTAAAGACTGAAGATGATGGTTAGGAGAGCAACCAAGGTTGAACGAGTCATCATTATTACACTCTACTAGATATCAAGCATATGTGCAGAACAGTCATCATGGGCCATCTGGAGGCGAAAATGTTTACTTTAAGACAATCATCTTTATCACCCATCTCAGGTGTCCACTTCTGGAACTTCTCAGTCAAGCCCTCAATTTATATGTCCAAATATGAAACACTGATTACAGAAATTTTCTAGACACTAAATGTGTTTACTCTAACTGTTCATTTTCTTTACAAGAAAAATACATTGACTCCATGTATGAAAAGATGTTTTCTACTTGTGCTAACTAAATACATATTCTGGAATCCCACAGAGACTAGGCACATTGCTCTTGCGTTTTGTTTTTCAATATTGTTTTCATATTGCCAAAAAACGTTTGTATTGCAATAGTCATGAATTTTAGCTCAGGTATGCCTACCAGTTAAGAAAGTGTGTGCAGTCAGTGCCTTTTGTGCTTGTTTAAGACCTTTTCTCCTCCCTAAGAAACAAATCGGAGGAATATTTCCTGTATATTTATTTATGTTAACTTATATAAGCAGTTGAGTGGATTTCCTGACACAACTTGTATTTTGATTGTAAACCACCCCCCACCCCCCCTCTCAAAATGGACCTAACTACTCTTTGGAGCTTGAAACTATTTTTTCAAGAGCTGAAAACTACTCTGACACTAACCCCGGGGTAAACAGTTCTGCTATTGTATTGTATTGATTTTCTGACAACTTTTGGATTTTCTCTTTGGTGGAGCCTGCAATAAAGTGTGTAAAAGTGTACCTGGTATTCTATGAAACTGTAAGTGGGGTTTTCATTATATTAAAATAATTTTGTATTGTTTTTCTTAATTTAATCCACTTTTCTTACAACAGTGTGTATCTTTAGCACACATGTTTTAGTTAAGGGAAGGGCGCGACTGCAGTTTGTTGACACCTCTTGCAGCATATCTAGAGGGATACAATAAAGCTGCTATGTTGGCCACAAAATTAATGTACGGGTTGAAATTATTTCATTAAACTTTAAGGGTGTTTTTTGTTTGCTCCTATTTTCATTTCTCTCAGTAAGTAGCTAAAGCAGCTGTCTTTCCCATCCCCATTATATTAGACTTGTGTTTGCACTACTTTTCTGCCATGGCAACCATGATGACACCAGTTGGGAAACGAGTGGCGCGGATAGCGTGAATTTACCAGAATTTGATATATTGTAAATTAATGGATAACTGATTACTTGCTGGTTACTTGCTGTCATCCATTTGTCTTGTTTTTTAAGAACACCTCAATAAGTAATGGCTTTCTGTAGAGTTCACAAATGTGGCTGTAAATGACAAAAGGTGGCTAAAATTTAATTATTTTAATTGTTGTTATTACAAATTTTGTAAACATGGGATTTGTTTTTTAATTAGTTTTGTACAGCTGTATTTGGCTAATGAAAGCCGTATATTAATCATTAAATAAGTTTATTATTCTTAAAAATTGTCAATCATAAATAGGAGTAGTTTGTAAGGTTACATGTCTTGAAGCAATCATTTAATTGAGTAGACAATTCCCACATGTTGTACCTTAAAACTCTAAATTTGTTTCAAGCACTGCTGCCTAGCAATCTCCTATTTCCCACAAATGATTGTCTTACAAGCAGAGAAACCCCATGTATTATTCTTGTTTACAGGGCCTAGCCACTTGTTACAGTAAACATGACTGCTAAAATCTATTCTTACAAGCAAGTCACTATTCTCATGGAGAAAACCTAATGCTAATGTATTCATTTTTGTTACAAAGTTATGAGTGTTACTGGTTGACTTTTCAACCTGTTGAGAAGTTATTAACAAGCTTAAAAATACAACTTTTGAACAGACAAATGTAAAGTGAGTGAGTGATATTAATGAATATTACATTTTTAAAAAAATAACTCTGAATTTAAATAAAATTTCCAAGGAATTTCGTGGTACATGCTGATAGAGATTATGGTGATGGCAGGAACGATTACAAAAATCTACAGATGTTCAACGTCACAGATTGTAATTTTTCTATATTCCTTATTTTTTTTATCTTGAATATTAATATAATTCTTTTCTTTTTTACTTGTTAAAAACTTGTCCATTTCTTAAGTTAATAACTAGAAATTTGTTTAAGCATGTAAGTTCAAATGAATCTATTCCCTCGCTTTAGGCAGACAGTATAGGTTACAGCAAAAGTCTGTTGGCAGGAATGTGTTTGTTCATAGATATATTAATAAAATATGTATTTGTGATATGTTATGTTATGACATGATACCAATTTTTTTTTTTTCATCAAAAAATATGAAAGGTTGATCGTTTGATGGAGCAAATATGGTCTCTACTTTCTGGGTATGATCTGCAAGGACTACGGGAATATTGGCGCTATTTAAACCAACGTTTATTTTCTCGACTGGAGCAGCGTTATGCACCAAGTGTTAGAAAGCTTGAGAGCAGTCTACTAAAATTGTATGTAGTGAATGCTCACCAAAGTGGGAAACAAGATAAAGTACTTGCATTTTTTGAGCAGCTGGCAGGAGAACTTCAGTCACATTCAGATTTTAAAGACTGGTTTGGTAATATGGATTTACATTTATTATATTGTCAATTTTGTTCAAGTCTTCTATAATTTTGTTTTGTTTTTTTTTCTTAAAAATCAAATTTTGCCAAGTTGATGAGGCAGTGCTTATACCAGTTTTTTTAAAATAAATTTGTATATAATGAAAATGGCAGTGTTTCTGTAAAATCTCAAATTGTTTTTAATTCTACCTTCTTTCAGCTTTTCCTTTTGTGACTACCCCATCAGACAATCCGATGTTTTCTATGTACTTTAGTAAACAGTGGCAAGATACTTTACAACTGTCACTTCATAATTTTCTTTCAGTAGTTTTGCAAGCAATGCATATCCTTTTCTTGAAATACAACTTCTATAACATAATTTAACTAACTCTTGCATTCCAGAGAATATTTTTTTATTCTAACAATTTCAAATATGTTATTGTACAATTGTTATAGCTTAAAAGCATTATGTTACTAGGTAATCTATTGATATTTTTGTCCACTATTAATTTCAGAATTGCTTTGAAAGCTATATATGTAACAAATGTTGTGTAAATGAATAGATCAGTAAAAACATGTATGTGCACTTTATATTTATATACATAGGCCTATATATAGCAGAACAGCAACAATAATAATATCACATCATAAGTCCTTAACTTTACAAACCTGTTCCAACATTATTAAATGTTGAATTTGATGCAAGAAGAATGAAAACTTTGCAAGAAGAAAATACATCCCTTAAGCAGCAGGTAATCTTTATTATGTCTAGTTAGAGGCATTACTAGTTTCTTTTTTTCTTTTTTTTTTCTAATTTCCAAAAGTAATATAAATTTTCATAATTAAAGTATCCAAAGTTTCCACTGTAAGTAATGTTTGCTCCTTAGATCAGCATTTATGTTTACTCAGTCGATCAGTATTTATGTTTACTCAGTAGATCAGTATTTAATTTTACTCAGTAGATCAGTATTAAATTTTACTCAGTAGATCAGTATTTAAGTTTACTCAGTAGATCAGTATTTAATTTTACTCAGTAGATCAGTATTTATGTTTACCGAGTAGATCAGTATTTATATTTACTCAGTCGATCAGTATTTATGTTTACTCTGTCGATCAGTATTTATGTTTATTCAGTAGATCAGTATTTATGTTTACTCAGTAGATCAGTATTTATGTTTACTCAGTCGATCAGTTTACTCAGTAGATCAGTATTTATTAGTTTGTGTTTACGTTTACCTAGCTGATGAGCTCTGCCACATCCAATGAGATTAATAGAGGTGAGGCCAGGTCAGGCACCCGAAGAAATTTGCATTCAGAGTTACCTCCACCTTCATCCCCTCCTGATATGGTTTATGATTTTTCGGGTCTAGCAAGGTAAGGCTCTTAAATGATGGAGATAAAAATTTAATTTTAATAGTATTCTTTATTTTTATTCATTTTAATAAAAATAACTTTCTCAGTTTCAAAATTGTCTTACTAACTACGTGGCTTTTTAAAAATATTATTTTCAGTGATTTTGATAGTACAAATCAAGAGAAAGTGAAAAATACCCGTCGTTTTCCCTTGATTCTTACTTCGCCATTGGTGGGCAGAAAGAAAACCACAGAGGCAGCCCAGGCCAAGCCCAAAGTAACTGCATCAGCAAGTGCAATAAGCAGTACGACAGCTGCAGGGGTTACAGGAACTCAAGGGAAGGTAAAGATAAATGGATAAATACATCATGAAAAGGAAGAGGTGCATCAAGCAATCATGGATGTGTAGTAAAGGTAATTGGCATGGTCCCAGCAAGGCGGTAAAAATTTCAGTAAATCAACAATAGGATATCAGGTGCTGGTGGACTTGATAGCAATGGACAACACAGGTTCATCTCAAATAAATGAATTGAATTAAATGAATTTCAGCATTAATATCATGTTTTTTTTAAGTGTTTTGTTGTATAATTTAGACCCTTAATTGGAGACGGTTTGTTTATTTATTTGAATTTAGCAGGGAAAGGTGACAGAGATGTCAACAACACCATCTTCATCTGAGGGAAGAAAGCTGTCCATGGCATCTCAGATGCCAGCATCATCATCATCATCCACTGGTCCAGTCACAACAGATGCAACGCGAAATCAGGTAACAAGTAAGCAGGTACCTTCTTCACAACAGCAAGGTGCTACAGTTGTCAGGCATGCCACATTTTCTGCCAGTGAGGCATCAAGTACAGCAACATCACTGCTAACAAATGTAAGTAGGAAGTCATTCAGTTTTAATGATCCATTTCTGCTTTGTATCTCATGTTTATTTCTCTGTCAATTAAAAGTCAAACTCGTATACTGAGGAATTAGTATGGAATTTGTATTTATTTGAATGATAAAATTTCAATCTTTAATCATTCCTTACAACGTTGGTGGATTGGGATATATGCAGTTTTTCTTTCTGTTCCTCTCTCTCTAGAGATCTTTATCTGCCCCTGATGGCAAGAATGTATCAAATAGCAAACTGTTAGGCAATAAGCGAAGGTCAGAAACACAGTTAACTCCTATATCAGACGCTTCAACTGATGCCTCGGCAGCTAATCCTCTGTTAGACTCTGGTTCTGATTCTGAAACTCCCCAGCAATTAGCATCAGGTATTAATTGTTGAACACTTCAGTTCTCTTGATAATAATATTTTCTTCGTATCCGGAAATTTAATCGAAAGAAATTTCGTCGACGATAATTTGATCGAACGGAAATTTTTTCTTTTTTTTTTTCTTCAGTTTTTACGTTAAACGTTTGCTTCAAATTTCTTTTTGAATGCACTATTTTGTTTTACCATTATAGTATAGTGCGTTCAAAAAGAAATTTGATGAAAATTTTTATGCATGAAATGAAAAATAGTTTCGGCCAAATTTTCGTTCAGTCAAATTAACGTTAATCATTTTACCATCAACGAAATTTCTTTCGATCAAATTTCTGGTAGCCTATCTTCTTAAAAATAACTAACCAAAAACATATACAATTTTTTTTTCCTTCCATTCATCAATACAATTTAATCATTTCTCTTGACATCCTTTCACTGGTAAATTTATATTTCTTGTTTGCAGATGCTGACAGTCCATTCCTACTGCTGGAAGAGGTGAGGAAAAATGTTTTTAAGATGTTATACTTGGGGTAGTTTTAAAAAAGAAACAATGATTATTTTTATGTTTTAAAACTTGTACCACCATCAAACCATAAATATAGTGCTAAGATACAAGTTTGAGGAGTATACATTTTTTATGCCATTTTTCATTCAATCACTCAACGGGAATTACAAAGTTTTTAGAAAAATGTTGTATTATTTCACTTTACAAAAAATTATTTTCAAAATGGTTATCAATGGAAAATCAGGGTGTCAACTACACATATTATTCATTTAATCTAACTCTTCCTACATCTTAATTGCTCAGGATGAATACACAGAGCATAGTTCTGCTGCCTCTTTCTGTCGCTTTAGCTTGACGGGTCAATATGTGGCCAGTTTAGACGTTGATGGAATCGTGAAGTGAGTTAACAATTAAGTCTCATTAATTTGTAAGAATCTAAATTAAAGAGAATATTTAATTACTATCAAAGCAAAAACATTTTTTACAGCAATAGAGATGATTGTTTTTTTAACTATTTATTTCAAATGAAAAGAAATATTATTTTGTACTACCTTAATCTCGTTTTCACTGACCGTACATTCTCTCAGGGTATGGATGTGGAGCCCTCAACCATCAACAACAGCAACAGTCATGTCAAGGTCTGCATTCCTTTCATTAGCCTGGGCAAGCAAATCAGATAGATGGGTAAGATTATATTTAGCAAGCTGCAGATTTGAACTTAGTGGCATTATAGTTTACTCATCCCTGTCAAACCACATTACAATATGTCAAATTATATTGTATACAGAGATTTTGAACTAAGGGAAAATTAAGAACCGGGCACTTATGACAGGCCTTTGTAAGATTTTGTAAGCTGTTAGCTATAATTTTATTGACTCAAACAGATGGTGAAAAAAATTTCATTTGATTGACAGTTGCCTTAAGTACAGATTGTCATTACATTTTACTATTCTGAATTCTGTATGTCAAATTCCAGAGTTCCTATTCTCATATTATTTTCTTTCCAAAGCTTTTGTTAGGTAATAAAACTGGGTCCATTCGTTTATTTGATGTAAAAGACAGCAAGACATACAGAGAGGTTCCGGTACATCAAGACAACCCAGCAAAGTAAGAAAATTATAAAGAAAAGAAAATTATAAAGAAAAGAAAATATTACTTACCTGTTGTATTGTTCTAAATAAACTGTATTTTGAGCCAATTTTGAGAATATACTGGATCAAATACATGTTCAAAATATATATTCCAGACCTCACATTATTTCTCACTCTGATAGTTATCTCTCCTTTTGCCCACGTTTCCTTACAGTTGTATGAGAGTGACAGACCTGTCTACAAGTCCTTCAAGCATGCAGTTTGTGTGTGCCACTGCTGATTACTGTCCCTTCACATCGAATCTCAATAATGTGTCTGGCAGACTTCTTCAATGGGACCTGAGAACACTTAAACTTGAGGTGATCATTTTTAGAGCAAAACTTAAAATCAACAAATCTTGAAATAATACCATTTCAGTCATCTGTTTAATACAGTGGTTCTCAACCTTACTAATGCTGGGACCCTTTAATGTAGTTCCTCATATTGTGGCGACCCCCAACAACAAATTATTTTGGTTGCCTCTTCATAACTGTAGAGTATATATATTTTCCTTTCCGATGGTCTTAGGTGACCCATGTGATTTCAAATGGTCGTTCGACCCCCAAAGGGGTCCCAACCCACAGGTTGAGAATTGCTGGTTTAATAATACATTGCAAATAAAGGGGACAACTATTGTTATTGATAAAATATTTTTTCCTTAAAATATATAAAATGTCAAGAATATATTTTATGTATACTTTTGTATATTTAACAAACAACATTCTATTTCCATTTTATTGCTGTTGAAGTTATAATTTACTTCAAACAAATTTTCTTTGAGGCTATCACAGATGTCATTAAGAATCCTAATTCCCATCTCTTTTTTGATATCTTTACATGATGTTGTGATTCTTTTACCACACCAAAAAATGTCAAAATGTAAAAATTGACATGTTGTATTGATTTAGAACCCAGCTTCTCTACTGAGTTCTAGCTGATGTATGGACATTTTTTGTTTAAATACTATTACAATGATCATTGATTTTTATAATATTATTTTTTTAATGACTTTTAATTTTTTTTATTACTGTTAAACTATGTATGGTATTTAAAGGAATTAAATAACTACAGGCTGTTAAATACTGCTCTTAAATGGTATTAATTTAAATGAGAGGTGAGGAAAAAGTTTCTTTTAAAAGGAACATTCACTATAAACATCGTTCAACCCTATTATTTTCTTCTATGGTCATCGTTAACCTTGAGTGATTTGTGGAAATTAGTTGAAATTTTCACTAAATTATGAAAATATCCTTCAATTGGGAAGGGTCACAGTTAAAAGAAATTTTAACAATTTTCTTCTCTTTCAATTTTTTTTTTTATGTCATTTTTTTCTGCCTTCTTAGCGAGCTTTACAAGTGGATTCAGCAATCTGTAATGCAATCACTTGTTCTTCGTACAGTCAAAGTGGTCATATGCTTCTTACTGGTGGGGCTGATGGCTTTATTCGAATATATGGTACAAATACAGTAGTTTTTTCTCCTTCTTCTAATCAGTTAGTATCTTAAGTTAGTGTTAAAACCATGCATGACATAATACATAAGTATAGCACAACATGTATTTAATGACCACCTGCTAATTATAAGCAAAATGAAGATTACAGACTAGGCTCAAGAGCATACTTCACATCTTGAGCAGATAATTAATTAAACAATCACTGGCACATATATATTTATGAGTATAATTCAAACACCATACCTTTTTGTTTTAAAAAAAAGCCTTAATGCCCTTCTCCCATATTTGTTTCTGGACCCTGTGCGCCCCCCCCCCCCCCTCCCCCCACACAAAAAAAAAACATGATGGGCAAACAAGGTTCAATAACAGTAAACTCAATAGCATACTGAAGATGACAAAATACATTTCAATGGAGTTAAATTCCGTATCACTAGAACTGGCATAAATAACAAATGTATTATCTTAAATTACATCTAAGTTCATTATCGGAGTCCATTTTTGACTTGCTATACATCATGGTAAAAATATCAAAATTTATTGAAATCCCTAACTTTAAGCAGCATTTTTAAACCTAAATATCTCTCATTTTATAAATCCAAGAGGAAATGATAAGTAAACATAAACAGAGCAGGGCTACCACACCTTGGGACATTTCCCAAGTTCTTGGGAATTCACGATCCCCATGGGGGGGGGGGTAATATACTGAAAACTTTTGAAAATTATTTTAGACCCAAAGTCTTGATGACGATGCTTAATAAATAAATTATTGCATTTTTTCTTTCCATGTAAAAGATATTTCCCAAGTTCTTGGGAATTCATGATCCCCATGGGGGGGGGGGGGTAATATACTGAAAACTTTTGAAAATTATTTTAGACCCAAAGTCTTGATGACGATGCTTAATAAATAAATTATTGCATTTTTTCTTTCCATGTAAAAGATTCCAACTCCCAAAAACCTGCCTTGAAGTGGCCAGGTCATGATACACCAATACACACAGTCCAGTTTCATGGGGAGAGATCAGTCTACAGCATGTCAGCTGATGGAAAAGTAAGGAGCTTATTAATATGTTTCTATTAACATAAATTTGTATTTCTTTTTTTTTATTTAAAGTATCTTTTGTTTCATGTTTTGTATTGCCTGCTGAAACATCAGTCTTATTGTCCTGTCTTTTCTTTTCAAGCCTAAACATGTCTTGTTACACTATTTATTGAATGTTGAATTCTAAATTTTAAAACACTTATAATGAGTTTATAATTTTATCCTTTAGAAAAAGGGAACAAAAAATTCATGGGGCTCATTTTTAAAAAGTGTATCCTAACCAAGTAATACATTTTTTGTGTGTTGCAGCTTTGTGAATGGAACCTAGCTCGTATTGGTAATTTGGTGAATACAATAAACTGTGGACAGAGAGACTTGGGAAAAGTAAATTCTGGTAGTTGTCGAGGTCGCCTATTTGCACTTCACCTAGATCATTATTTACTGACCTACACCGGTCGAAGGGGATCTATTTTCAAGGTCAGTTTTTAAAAATTGATTCAAGCCATAGAATGACAATAAATTGTTTCGAAAACAGTGACATGGACATAAAGAGAAATCATTATAATTCTAACATTGTGGACATCCTTGAAGCTTGTTTTTAAAAATTTAGTTGATGAAAAACAGTCTTTTCCATTAATGTAAATGTAAAAAATGCTTCCCAATTAGCACACTTGATTTATATCTGTTTGCGCCACAGATCCAGGATGTCCCAAGCCCAACTCGTGTTATGGAGCTTAAACTTCATCAGTCCCCCGTAGTCACAGTTGATTGGTCGCCATCACCAGACACTCAAGTCTGCATCACTGGCTCAGCTGATGCAAAAATTAAAATATCGACCCTACTTTCCAAATGAAGATTGCAGACTTGTTGACCTTTTGTTGCTCTTTAAAATTATTTTTTGTTCTTTTCTATACACTTATCTTCCTAGAATAATTTAATTTATTTGATCTCCAATATTCTAGCTCAGTGATTCTCAAATGTTCACCCTGGGGAGTGGCGTCTTCCTTACAGAAGCGCCACACAATTTTCATTAGTTTATTTACATTTATTACCAGATTGACTATTTCGCAGTTTACAAATGGCACCTTATGAAAACATGGCTTTAACTAGGGCACAGAGAAGTGAATAAAATTTGGGAACCTCTGCTCTAGTTTAAAAACACAAAATATAAAAAATGGCACCAGTCATTCCATTAAATGTATTTATGAGTCATGATTTCATGCCAACAAATTACTTTTAGGGTAAAAGCTTTGATGATGTCATTGCATATTGAATAGAACTTCAGTGGAGAGATCTGAAATCCTGTCCTTAAAGGTTCTCTGATTATTAAAAACTATTTTAAGAGACTTCAAATGTAAAAAGATGCAGGCTGCCATAAATTAATGAACAGCTGAGTTAACCTAATCTATGCAATATTATTTTGTACATAAAGCTGACATTGATCTTTGTCTTGATCAGATGTTCTTATTTTTGTTCTTTGTTATTGACTTTCATTTAATTATTAAAATTATTTAGAATATAGTATTAAGTGCCCAAACATACCAAAAAAATATCTATGTGATATAAAAATCATACAATGACAGATATGTCATTTATACCATTTGGTGTTAGTATAAACTGGTTTATGGGAGTAGGCTTAAAGCTCAAAATAATAAAGCCAAGGAAAACATTTCAATTGGATAAACAGCAAATTGAACAACTCGTTTTAAGCCTTATGAATACCAAAAAAGTGGATGAAAACCAATCATTGGAATGTGATACAAATTATGGCCTACAAGCACCTAGGTTTCCCTGTATTTTGCAGTAATATATTCTTCAAAAGTAAAATGTACTAAAAGTTATGTTCACATTGTCTATTATTTGTTGATCATAAATTACTCCATCCATACTATTATTACTACTGGTACTACTACTATTTTTTTGATAAACATAATTAACAAAAATAGTGATGACTCTGCACCTGGAAACCCTTTACAGCAATTCAGAAGCACTGCTTTACTAACAAGCATAATCAAAAGAGTGTTGGTCCAGTTAAAATTTAAAAAATGTGTGCTTTTCATTTAGATGCATTTCTATCTTTTTTAAAAGTATTGTTTCTATGCATATTGTTACTTCACTACATAATTTTATGTAATATATTAAACTATTGATGATTCTAAAAAGAAATTGCACTAATGAATAATAACTTCAGGTTAATTGATAGTGCCATAACAATTATTTATACATTTTTAAAATAAAAATTATATGTTATATCAACAACAGTCTTTATTTTGTGAAAACGAATCTTCATCCATTGTAGTTTCTACTACTTCTAATCCAAGAACAACTACCATGGACCATAACAAGGATTAGGTTTAAGTTTCTTACTTCCCATTATAATAAACAATGTCTGCTTTGTGAGATTTATGCAAATGTTATTCATATTCCACAGTATGTCTATTTTGAAGTTGAACATTTTGTTTCCGTTTCATGTTAAATTATTGCAATATTTTTGTTACTGGAACTTGAACTAGCTGAAACTGAAAGATAATTTAAGTATTGTTTTCACCCGCTAGTCATTAGGATGACTGAAAAATGTATGTATTATATTCACCCACTAGTCATTAGGATGACTGAAAAATGTATATATTATTTTCACCCACTAGTCATTACGATGACTGAAAGATAATTTATGTATTATTTTCACCCACTAGTCATTAGGATGACTGCTGTCCTATGAGGTACGACTACAAAGGAAAAAAAAATATATATTTTTGAAGAAAAAAAAACAATTTGATTGGTTCATAGCATTTCCGCTTTCCTATGCTTTTTGATTATCATGGTTTGGCTAAGTTGTTGTTGTTCGTCCATCAACATCGACTAGGACCATCTAGTCATCTAGTAAGAATGTAAGGTGGAAGTAAAATTTAAAAACCAAACATGAAAAAGACATTGCAGCTATGTAAAATTGTGAAATTTTTACCAGATGACCAACGTACCAAATCTTTTTACTCATTTATTTCCAAATAAATTCCATCACTTGCATACAATAAACATACCAGTAACTGCAATGTCTATATTTATTATATATATAATAGTGATGGCAACGGCAATGTGTGAACCACCAACCATCTGCAGCCACTTGACATAATATGCATTTAAATTCAAGTTCAAGTGACAAATTTTATTAGAATCCCAAGTGCTATTTTTATTTTCTGCATTTATGGAGCACAGAGTCAAAGCCATTCATATACATAGCCTAGAGAATAATTCTTTTTCATGTGCATTTTTTACCATTTTAATTGAGGAGGTAGACACACTGCATAACAATTATTACATGAGCTACTATCTGAGTATTTTGACTTTTTTTTTGTCACCATCAGAAGTGCCATTTTTTAAGCATCCGTAAAAGTTAATCACTTAAACTCACTCACACTCAACGCATACCCTCGTATATAGAGAACAGACTCAATTTTTTTTCAAAGGTAAAACTTAATTCATTAAATTTTATTGTAATGAAAATGGTGTTTCCTAACATTTTGCAAAAAAAAAGGGAGGTAAAATACACAAAATTTGTAGATTTAAAAAAAAAATAACCAACAATTAACTTATAATAAAGCATACTTAATAATTATATCAATATGTAAGGGAACTAAAGGGCTGTGTACTTTAACAGCTTGCGTACCCATAACATGTATATATTTAAAATACAAATATGGTTAGAATTTTACAGGGGTTATGTACAGCAAAAAATTAGTCAATTCAAATAATCAATGGTTAACCTAATTATATCAAAATACAGAATAACTATAGTTATACATATGTAAATAGTCCATTACATATTGATATACAATACAAACAGGGCTGGAACAATGCTAGGGTTCACATCCAGCAAATAAAAAAAATAATTTATCAATTTCTGGAATGACTTAGACTAAATGTTCAGTGTACCTACCTATAAAATTTATTTATACATACTGGTATATGACAACATATTTAATTCTTCTTGGTACCGGGTAAATAATTTTTCATTTAGCTGGATCTTTTCAATTTAAAGCTTATTAACTTTTACACTAAATAATCTTGCAATGCCTTTGTCTCAAGCCTACCACACAAGACAAAGGCATATTATCTTCTTTGTTGCTATGGTTAGTGACAGTATCAACAATAAATATATGACTAATTTTTTTTTAAAGAGTGAATTGGTTTGACATTTAGATAGTGCATCATTTTTGCAGGTTTTCATTAAATTGTCTTATCTTCTTTTTCAAACGACATCATAGAACAAACAAAACCAACTATGAATGAAATCAACAGCAGAAAAACATAAATCCATAATAAATTCATTAGTTACTTCCTGCACTGAACCAGCTTATGCAATCCAAATCCAAAACTTGATCCACACAATGTACATAATCCAATGTTGAAAGGGATCTGTTGATAAATTTTCCCACTCTCTTGCGAACTTTATAACTGGTACATCTTTAGTCTGTGAGAAGTAATAAGTCAACACTTTATGTACCGGTAAATAAAACAATATGTTAAGCTTTAATTATGGTTACACAAAATACAAATTCAAAGGTTTCAGCAAATGTTTCATCAGTACAAAATAAAACTAAGTATAAAGTAAATTTACAAAGTATATATCTATATATATTATAAATATATCCTGCCTAAAAATGAATGGAAATACGAATGGAACAAGTCCCTAATGAAAACAAAGCTCAGAAGAACAGTTTCGAGCTGAAAAGATACATTCAGACTTGGGTAAATTCCTAAAACTTTAGACTAAGACTGAGTATAAGAAAGATGCATTTATTTCATTGAAACATAATATTAGGCTCAAAGTTACCTGTTCCCAAGACTTGTTATTTTCCTCTATCAAAACATGGAGTTGACGAAGTAATTTCTTGTTGATGTCCAGATGACAGTTTCTTCATTTCCAACTAGCCAGAAAAGTCCTCTCAAGTCTCTTGAGTAGAGCAATGATTGTTCACCACCATCTATCAAAATGAAACATAAGATACACCTGGACCAAAGGAACATTATCAAATCATACACCAGGACCTAAGGAACAATATCACATAATACACTATGACCAAGGGAACAATCTATATATATAATTCGCCAGAAGTAGGGCAAACAAAAAGACAACCACCACGCAGGCTATATATAGATACGCCAGAGCAAGTAAGACGCAGGCAAACCTTGCCTGCCCATCGTTGGTCTCGAGACATGCGCACTGCGGTGGAGCTACGGCCCCCACTCCTGCACCACCCTCGCTTGCCAACCATGCGCACACCCCAACAAGGTTTTGGAACTAGTGTGGCCGTCCATAAAGTAAGTCACGATCCAAATGGGGGAGGGGAGGGGAGGTCTAAGAAAGTTTTACAGTTTGCCACAGGGTCGGGTGGGTAAAGATCATTGTAAAGTCACACATTAAATTTTTTTTATCATACATATATATATCCTGAAATTGACATTATTTTTTAACTTTCTGTTGTGATGAAGAGTAAATTTAATCGGGTATATTTTTTAAAAAATTATATTATTTTTTAATTTGTTGTTCTTTTTTAACACTATTTTTAAGTTCAAAACTGTGACGTACTATAGGTAATGGTAGGGAGTCCGAGATTTGTGACGGGGGAGTGGATAGCAATAGCACTGTAAAAAAATACCTTGACATGCTAAATAAATTGCCCCTAAGAGAGGGATGAAGAGAGGCCCATACACCAAGAAAATATTAAGTTCAAAAAGTAAAATTGAAACACTTCAAATATGTAATAATTAATGCATATCTCAATTCATAGATATTAACAGTAAAGTTTTTAAATAAAAGGTCGTGGGGACAGTCATATTGATTGGGGGTGGGTGCTGAAAGAAAGGAAGTCGAATCCTCCTGAGTGACAGTGGGTCTTGAAAGGGTATTTCTCTTTAAGTTTTGATAAATTTCAAAATGCATGGAAGCATTTCAGCGCATATCTGAATTTAGATTTTCATCATTTTAAACTTTAAAATGTGAGCAACAGAAAAACCCTAATTTACTAAAATTCACAATAAGAGCATCTGTTTAATGCTGGATCAGTGGACCAGCCCATTATTTATCTCGTACATCATGGAGAGCCTGGATAATCGTCTTCTTTCCTCCAAGGGTGACCAGCCCAGTGTTTCCAGCATGCTGCCAACACTAGAGGTGTTCCTGTAGCGGTTCAGAACAAAGCGAGCTGCTTCCAACCTTTCGATGTTTTTCTGGCTGATTGGGTCCCAGACTGAAGACGCGTAATCTAAAAGTGGTCGGACAAAGGCTTTATAGGAGGGGGTCTCAAACTCATGGCCCGCCCCTGCCTACAAGCATGGGTAATTTATGAGAGCATTGCCCTCCACCGTCCCTGAAATTTACATGTTTTTCACAACAGCCTTCGATGTTCACCTGGGGAAGGTGCAACATGTACTACCAATGAACCCTTAAAGCACTTGTGAAGGGTAAACTATCCCTGCGTCTCAAAAAGGCAGATCCCGGTTGAGTTAATGTCAATACAGTTAACAGCAATTTTTTCATAAGATTCTAATGCAAAGTTGTTGAATAGTTAAAATTTGTGATCCTTGTCATTGTTAAGTAAAATGCCGTAATAGATCAAACAATTGTTTAAATGAAATTTTTTTTTTACATATAATATCTCACCCAGTGACCAAAGTTAGCCAACATTATTATAAGCTGTGTTTTCCTAACAGAAACTAATACTTGTTCCATTTGTTCATGTTTGTAGATCCTTGTTTTAAGCGCATAAAAATAGTTCCTTTATAAAGTATAGCGTGTAATTCATCAGACTGGTAACAATTTTTAAATTATAAAAGATTCAAAAGAATAAGTTCAATTTTTATCAGTTAACAAAAGAAGCAGTTTTATTCAATCAGCAAATACATCACATTTTTTTACGCCAAAGAAATAAAAAAAGAAAACTCATTATTTTGCTGCAAGGCAAGATCTTTATATTTTCAGTATGTAGGTGAACACAAGAGCCATTGCAAGGAAATATGACATAGTGAGGGGGAAAAAAGTGCTACACTGAATGAACAAAAATGATGAAAGGATATGTTATTTGAGCATTTTTAATTAAATAATTGTTTTCATTTACAAAAATGTAAAGTTGACTTTAAAAATAAATTTTAAGCATTAGTTTGATTCTTTTTTAGTAATAGTTACATAGAGATAAACATTTTGTTTTAAAATAAAAGATACAACTCATTAGGGTGTTTGTTATCTGGGTACCGGTAGTAAAAAAAAAAAAAAAAAAAAAAAAAAAAAAAAAAAAAAAAAAGCCTATAAAAAGCTAATGTACATGATTTAAAATCAGTGTAAAATCTTACAAATTTCATATGGGATATTTATTTTAAATGGTAAAAATGATATAGAATCAACAATTTGAATTAGATTAGCATAAAGCTAATACCAGTCACGAGATACATAAAACATGTAAGTGGTCAGGAATGTTGAGTCTTGTCTTCAAGGATGGATCATAAAATACAACAAACATTTCTACTTTTACTAGTTTTACTTTGTTGTACAGCTGATGTCTAGAACATTATAAATCTGATAAATTGGCAATAAATAGCCATTATTTTAAACAATATCAGCTTAATCAACATTTCTAGTTGAATGATTATGTGATTTGTTAGTTTGTATATGCTGAGAAAAAAGCTTTTTTTTAAAAATGTATTTTTATTATTATGAAAGCTAGTTTTTTTTTAAAGATTATACACTTAAAACTGTTTAAAAGCTTCAATATCAAGAGAAATATACATATAAATATAAACTCTTAACTTTAAAATCTAATCCTGTGAAAATGTGTTGTAAAAGAAAGAATAATTAGATTAGATCCAGTAAAAGTAATTTGTGTACACTTCATCTTGAAAGTTACCTGTATCAACTTTATAATAGCAGACTATCAATGAATTATTTAAATATTAAGTTACATATAAGCTACCTGTATCTGTAATACAAAAGATGGCAATAATATAATGCAGGAGTTATTCCTTTAAATTTATGCTCTGACAGATGTTGATCAACACAGGCTAACCTAAGAAATTTTGGCAAGTGCCATAATAGCCAAAAGAAGCAAACCCCTAGAGAAAGTACATGAGTGTGAATTGACTTCAACTAGAATATAAAGCAGACACTCATTCAACAGCGCTTGTGGATAATTTTCTTGAGTACCGGTAATATGAAAATGGCTGGTGATACTAAAAGCCTTTCAAGTAAAACTGTTACTTATCTGTTGCATAGAGGATCAAGGTTGTGTAATGATTTATATATGCAAGTAATTGAAAAGAATTCTTTCAAATAACACAAAACTTAGTAAATGTGTCATCGAAAATATCTCCTTATGCTGATCTTTATATATTGATACAAATATGAGCTAATTAAATTTTCATTCTGTTCTCCAGAACAAGCAAAATTGTTAGAAATGTGGGGACATGCTAGCAATATCATGATTTTTAATTAATGCAAAAAAAAAAAATTTCTATGCTAAAATGATCCAAGAATGCAGGATACAGTAAAAGCCAAAATTATGTTACTGATACAAAAACATTTGTAGAATGTGACAGGTCCACAGTAACAGACAACGATGACTTACTACTACCTCATTAGTAGTAATTATTAAACCCAATTAAGTCCTTCGCTGAATTTAAAGTAAATGAAGATTGCCGATTTAAGAGAATAGTAAAAGCACCAAAAAAAAGAAAGCAAGGTTAGATTTATTGTGTCTTCAAAAAATGCTTACTTAGCCTTAAGTTATAAAATTTAAATGTCTTATTAATCTATAGCTAAATGTTATTTTTTGCAATAAAAGTCTGGTCATTCTTTGAAATTTACACTGGCACCCTAAATATTACTCTAAATATACTTTACTTTCAAAAATTATCATACAATTACCACAAGGTTTTGATATGGGTTATACAATATGGCAGAAAAATATAAAAGTTAAAAGACAGAATCATGACACATTCAACTTTGCTGACATGGTCAATCATTAAGTGAATCATGATTTTTGGTGTAATTTTCACGAGGCTGATGGTTGATTGCTTTGACCACCTTGACCTGTTGACCCAATAAAGTTAATAAAAATAGCTAGCATCAATACATTTTCTGTTACTGTGCTCCAAGTGTTAAACAGATATTAAAAAAGTAAAGCCAATAATCACAATCAACATATAACAATGAACAGATTTAAGTTAAACCAATTATCAAAATAAATTTAATGACGTATTTAAGCTTGTCGATATTTTCAAGCTTATAAAATGTCTGCAAAAAAATTTTTTTTTACATAAAGTCAGAAATTTATCATTATTTTGGATAAATTGTAAGTTTTCATCATCAAAATTTAGTACTTACATCTGGTGGGAGAATTTATGATTGTAAACAAACAACAAAAAATCATTAGAAAAACAAATTAAGCATCTGCAGAGAAATTGATTCACTTTGGTATGTTACATGGTGTCAGATGAACTAACTGTTAAAATCATTTTTTAACATGAACCTAAACCAGGGCTCACAGTACAGTTATCAATAGTACATTACAAGCATAAAATATTTATTTATAGATAAATCTTTAGAGTAAAAGTACAGCAACTTGAAAACAGTTTTTATCTGTGAAGAAGAAATGTATGTATATAAAATAAGTTACATTCTCTTCACACATATTTACATAAATTTTGTCCTTAATTTCTTTGTTACAACCTCTGTTGAAATGATGAAATGTCTCTGCAAAACCAGGAAAGGTAAATACAAACAAAAACAACGGTCCATCACTTAATATCACGGCTTTGAATGAAAGAACACTTGGATGATATTTGTCCACAAGAAAGTCATTTTTCAATGCTCAATCACAATATAAATATTTCAACTTCCGGGCTCCTGCTTTGGCAAGGACACAATAACCTGAACTACATGATTCTTGGGTATTCTAGCATCCTCTATACGCAGTTTATCATTGAGTAGTCGTCCAGAATAAAACCATCTTTGTCTATGGGGTTCCAACCCCACCTGCATGTCTGCAACACGTTTTTTAACCTTTAAAACTGTGTCAGTAGAGCATACAGACAGCTTAATATCATGGCTCAAGTTTGAGAGACGGAACCGAATAGGCTGTTCAATCCCCGGTGATGGGTTGGCATCTGTATCAGGAGGGGTTTCACTTTCACTTGTGTCTTCAATTAAATTGGCTGGGGCACTTAAAACATAATGTGGCAGTTGGTATCTGTTACCCAGCTCATCATAACAGTCCATCAGAGTTCCTGGAAGGTAAGCAAATTTATTTTAAAATACCACTTCAAAGCCAGGAATCATTCACAAGTTGCATTACAATATACAAAAACAATGTTTGATTTTAATGCTGTTGGTTATTTTCACTGTGTGCTGATCTTAAAGATATTGCTTCCAGTATCTCAAAAACTTGATTTAATGATAGCATGAACAAAATTTTTATAAACCAATTAATAATAAAATGCAACCACAATGATATACTTTACAAACAAAACTATTAACTTAAAAGCCTTGAAATCTAAAAGATTATCAGAGGTCTTTCTCTGTGTTGCTTTTTGGTAAATTATCCATCATTGTATGGTTTATTATAAACTTTTTATTTACTACATTTTATTAATTATAGTCTATTACCATGTGGCAAAGATATGCTGGCCCCATCAACTATGGCTTGAGCTAAAGCATGATCTCCTGTCTCTAGGGCATAAGATGCTGCTTTGAGTGCATCCCAAATTTCCTTTCTTCCATCAAAGGCTGGTGCAGTATCCCAAAATTCATCTCGTTTACTCCTTAGTTGCCCTTCTGTTAATGGAACATCACTTTTCCACTTTGGTTTTTCTGGCTTTAATGGTTGGTTTCTACCAACTGAAACTTGATCATAAACAAACAATTTGTCAGAGATCATCATATCCATTAAATTTTGTAAAACATTGAATAAATTTAAGCCTGTTATCTTTCAGTTGATAGTTTCAGCTAATTTTTTCAATGCTTAGAACTTAGATAAGACCTTCATTCAGTGGCGTATGAGTGGAGGGCCGGGGCAGTCCGCACTGGGCAGCATTTTTCATGTCTGTATTTAGGGGCCATCCATAAATGAGGTCACGCAAATTTTGACTATTTTTACCCCCCCTATAGTTTCAGGTAATTTTTTCAATGCTTAGAACTTAGATAAGACCTTCATTCAGTGGCGGATGAGGGGAGGGCCGGGGCAGTCCGCACTGGGCAGCATTTTTCATGTCTGTATTTAGGGGCCATCCATAAATGAGGTCACGCAAATTTTGACTATTTTTACCCCCCCCCCCCAATTGTCGCAAATCATCACAAAAAGACGAAACCCCCCCCAATACAAAGTCACAAATCAGTTTTTATGCATTTATACAACTTTTTCTAGAATTCCTCCCCTTGCTATCTAACCGAACTTCTCTCTGTCTATTAACCCCCTCCTCCCCAGACGAGCGTATTCTTTCTGTCCACAAGACTCACACAAAAACATACGGTGAGCGATCATTCTCTTTCTGTGCCCTCAAACATTGATTTCTCTTCCATTACACATCCGCATTATACTGACCATCACAGCCTTCAAAACTGCACTCAAAACACATCTATTTTAAACTCTACTATCCTGACTAATTCCACCTCTGACCGAAAAACGATGCTGCTACGTGTTATCCATAGCTTGAAATGTAAATAGTTTTAAATATACATGTGTGTGTAAATAGTTTTGAATATACATTTGTTTTGTTTTATTTAATTAATGTATGTTAATTAATTTTTAAAGTTTTTGATTATGTTTGTTTAATTGTATGTAGAGCGTGGTGAGCCCACGTGGGGTACCCTGCTATATAAAACCACTTATAATAATAATAATTTTTTTCATTTTTGACAAGCAAATGAAAAAGTTAAAAATGGCTTGACTCTACTCTGCAGAAAAAATACACTTGACAGTTATAGGGTTAGTAGTAATAGCACTGAAACAAATAGACATCAAATATCTAAACTTTTCTATTTGTCAACACTATGACTATGTCATGTCTTAAGACTATGTGTCAACTGTATGATGAGTAATATGACTATGAGTATGAGAGTACAACAGTACAAGGAAGATTAAAACATAAAAGTGATTAGAGTGACATTATTAGCCTAAAACTAAAACAAATGATTTGTGTAGGCTAGGCCTACTTTCTACTTAGTTATTACTTCCTTTCTTTTTACATTTAAAAGACTGATGTGCCCAGTTCTTCATGGCTTGAGTTTCAATTCAATGTGACAGACTTGTGAGGGGAAGCAGAATCATAGTAATCATACCTTTTCAATCAATTAATAAGGGCACAGACCTAGATATTATATTAATTTCATATTGATCTCTGATACTGATACTAGTAGTAGATGGCAAAGGGATTACTGGGCATAGGGCCTAGCTCTAAGTAAGTGTAGGCTTCACTTGTTTCAGTTTCATACATTCATACATCATACTCATATTAATCATATAATAAAAGTAAGCCACAAAGTAAAGTGATCAAGTCAAATGCCTAAAATTTGATATCATATCTGGTTGAATTTAACTTATAAAGCATTAGGCCTATCGCTTTCCACTTCATCTGTTAGCTTAGCCTAACTTAAAAATAGTAATTGCTAAGAGCATCTCAGGCCGACGCTGACATTTATATCTTGTTTCGTGATTTTGGCCTGGTAATATGCGCAAACTTACCATGCTGAACCATCCCTGTTACGTCCGAAGATTCTCCAGAGGGTGGGCCATTGTCTCTCTGAGACCCAATGCACCCACCCATTCTAAATAAACCGGTTTATCAATTCGTAAGGATGTCTTGGAGTAGACATATCTGATAGTTTTCTTTCCCCTTCCCTACAACTACATAAACATCCGACTGAGGAAAACAATCAACAGGAAAGTAGTAGCTTTGTTCCCGAATTGCCAGATTTTTTAGCATACAATACTAATAATTCAGTCTCAAAGAAAAAAGTGCAAGCTAATCTGTTATTAATGTTATGGAAAACAAATAGTTGTCAAATAAAGATAAAAGATTGCATAACGTATAATTAATATTACTCGATTTTGTTCATTAAAATGTTATGAATCTAATTTAGTGAATTTATTTATATTTTATTTTTTTTTTTAAATTCAAGTGGCATATTTATTTAGCTGACTGATTGTAGTACTTCATGCTCCGTGTCGCGTCAAATTGGTCCGTGACAAATCGGCCTGGACAAGTTGGCCCTGAAAAAAGGGTCGTCGACTTTAGGGCCCCCCGACAAAAGTGTCGCCGACAATAGGGCCTCGACAAAAGGGCCACAGACAGCGTATCTCAAACAGCTGAAGATTGAGAGTAGATGTAGGGGGTGTGAGAATATAAAGCCTACAATTGGTCATTATGATGTTACTTAAGTTATTTTCTAAAATAATCATGAGTTTATTATTGAATATTGAATTGACGTAATTTTAGGGGTTGTTTAATTTAAAATCCTTTATATTAACTTCGCTTTTGTTCGTGTGTTTCTGGCTAGCGACAAAATCTTCGGACGGCTAACTTACCCACTTCCAGTCAACGTATCGAGCTATAACCTGACACATAGACTTGTTGCCGATCACAACACATTTTATCAAATTTTCAGCCCACCCCCAAAAATCAGTTTTACAGTTTTGTAAAGGGGAATATGAAGGAAATATGATGCCACTGATTTCACGAAAGAAAAGTCCCGATAACTGCGCAAAATGAGATTTTTTTAAAAATATATTATCGCACGTGTGTAGAGGGCTGTGGTTGATAGATGTTATCAAATAATAGGTACACGTGCATGGGCGCCCGCAGAAAACTTTCGGGGGGGGGGGGGCACAAAGATTGATTAACTTTCCAGGGGGGAAAAATTGTTTAGTAATGTTTTAATATAGTTTTAATTTACTATAGCGTATTTTATGGTGAACGAACGGACAGGACATCAGCTTAGTTACTTTCTCTTTATTTTCTCTTTACTTTAATACATTTTTGTCTATTTTTGTCTAAAAAAAAATTATCCAATCAATCCAGGGGGGGGGCAAGTGCCCCCTTGTCCCCCCTGCGGGCGCCCATGTACACGTGTTTCGTTTAGAAGTGCAATATACAAAATGTCCGATACTTTTTTTTCATATTATCTTATTTAAATTTAGTCACTTTACGAACATAAAATTAACTACAAAGAGCAATGAAACAAAAGAGTAATGCGGAAAAAAACTTAAACGAAATAATTGTTTGTAAACGATGTTACATGTTTCCCCGTTGGGAGTAAGCAGGTGTAGGCCCTATATCATGTAAGCAGATGCAGATCCCATAAGCAGGTATAGATCACGAAAGCAGGTTTAGATCACGTAAGCAAATGTAGATCACGGGAAGAACTTACATGTGAGCATCTAACATAAAACTGATCATTGTAAAAAAAAAAATCGATGTCTAATCTGTCGTTGGCAAATTTTAACGGGTCATCTTTCTTCTAACATGAATTAGATAGCCTGCGGCCCTGTCAATCACCCAGTCTGTGCCCTGTCAATCACCCAGTCTGAGGCCTTGTCAATCAACCAGTCTGAACCTTGTCAATCACCCAGTCTGATGCTCTTTGAGTCATCCAGTCTAAGCCCCTTTCAATTACCCAGTCTGAGGCTATTTCAATCATCCAGTCTGAGGCCATGTCAATCACAAAGTCTGAGGTCCTGTCAATCACCCAGTCTGATGCCCTTTCAATCACCCTATAGGAACCCTGTCAATTACCCCGTCTGAGGCCCTGTCAATCACCCAGTCTGAGCCCCTGACAAATCACACTGTCTGGACAGCAGTGTTCAACGTAATGTGTGTTTTTATATATTTTTATCTATTTTTGTTTCGTACAACTCTGCACCTTCGTCATTTTCATAATCTAAATCAACTTATTAAGTGAACTCATGCCATATTCCTGCAATTTATCCACAGACTGGAATATTACTACTCTTTCCCTGACCCCGCCGCAGAATTATGGTTCCAGGGATAAGCATGACCCATTAACTTCCATAATGACATCATTGAGATAAGCAGGCAATCGTTTCGCCAATATTACTTCCCCCAAGGATGCATTGAAATTAAGTACCTTTGAAAATGTAAAATATCAACTGTTACAGCCAGTGTATTGACCTAATTTTTCGTTAATGTAGAGCCGTAGCGTCCACCTTCCCCCATCCCCACACCTTTTTTGTTTTGATATTGACGTCACCAATTGAATGTTAAGCGCTGTATTATTACCCACCCATCCCTTCATTGGGAAAAGGTTGTTTATGTTCAAATATATTCTAAATGGGAGGTAGTATTTACTTTTTATGTTTTTATAATAATTTATTTTTTTCTGGGTAGCCTGGTAGGCCACGCAACTCCCAAAGGGCCATAAGCTCAAAGATCTACGAAAAAAAGTTTTTCCAGAAGTTAATAAAGTCAATCCTGATTTTGATGTGGGAACAACATTTTTCGCAAGTCTCAAAAAAAGAGCCAAATAATCACAAGACACCACCTCGTATGCCACTTATCGAAGAGCAGAAGAGCGATCCGGAAATCGCTAAACTTCAAGAGAACGCTTTGACCAAAAAGAAGCTGATCATGATTCTGAATGGTATTATATACAAGATGACCTCCAGATGGGCCAGTTGACGAAAAATGGAGGGTAGTTCATCAAATAGTAGTTTCTTCCATTTTTCGGAACAACATACTGAATTTAGCACATGACTCGCAATTTTCAGGTCCTTTGGCAGTAAAAAAAACGTATCACAAATAACTTCACATTTTTTTGGCCCAAAATAAAGAAAGATACGGTAGAATACCACAGATCCTGTCATACCTGACAGGTAATAACATTAGAATATATCAGCAGCTCCTCTTCAACCCACTCCAGCATTTGGGGAGTCTTTTAGATAATAGTCGTGTGATAATAGACTAAAATTGGGCCTCTGCCAAAGGCAAAACCAGGTCACCAATACTTGCTAACAATCATGTGTGCGTCAAAGAAGTTTCCAAAAGCTATACTTCTTCGCAATATCAAGAATCAGAACATCATCATAGCTTTAACGGGTTTTTTTTACATTGTTTGGTCTTCCGAAGTCTGTAAAGTCTGACCAAGGTTTTCCAAAGTCTGTACAGTCTGACTAAGGTCTTCCGAAATCTGTAGAGTCTAAGGTCTTCCGAAGTCCTCAGATACTAATGTGAACACAATCTTCACTGTAACATCAGTACCTAAAGAAAATTATTTTACTGATATTTTTTATAGTCTCCCAGAAAAAAAAATTGTCCATTGCAAGCTTACAAAATGAGAAATACTTAGCAACTTAGATAGGACATTTATCACTATCAGAAAAAGATTTTGTTGAATCTGTTTTTTACAGATTTGGTTTTACTTTTTCGTGATGTGCCGAATAAGAGAAACATTGCTGTGTAATGATTTTGATATTGGCAATGCAGATTTGGTGAAGCAACAGCCCCATAGGGTCTTTCCAGTTTTGTTTTTTAAAGCTGCTTTTATCTTACAAATTGTTAAGCAATATCTATGAACTATTTTGTATGAACGAAATTTATGTTCTTTTTATTTTGATTATAATTTTTTAAAGGATAAAGAATTGCACTGTGAAAAATGCAAATTCTTTTTTTCTCCCTTTTTTTCCTTTTTTTTTAAAAGAGGGACTGTGTTATAGCACTGTGTTATAATTTTACTTGTGACGACCAAAAGTCTCCCCATTCAAAAAAAAAAAATGTTTTGTTATTGACGTCACTGATTAAATGTGTAGAGCTGTACTACCCACACCATTTCTTGATTGGGAAAATGTTGTTTACGTTCTATTTGTTCTAAAGCAGTGGCTCTTAACCTGGGTTCGATCGAACCCCAGCGGTTCGGTGAGTCAGTCTCAGGGGTTCGGCGGAGGTCCAAAACAAAAAAAAAAATCAGGAAAAAAAAATCATACTTTATTTTTCCTATTAAGAAGGGTTCGGTGAATGCGCATATGAAACTGGTGGGGTTCGGTACCTCCACAAAGGTTAAGAACCGCTGTTCTAAAGAATGCAATCGTGTGATGCAATTTCTAGAATTTCTGGTTGGTGTTGAGGGGGGGGGGGTGGGGGGTCAACTTACTCCATATAAATAAGCTGGCAGCTCTCCCAGCCAGGATATTTTTTTTTATTTCTTAGATATTTACGGGACGTATAGGAACTTTACAAGATTGAATCCCCCACCCCCCCCCCCGAAATATTTGTACAACAAAAATATAATTTATTTTTAAAAATGACTAATTTGTCATTTTGTAACATTTAAAAAAAAAATAATAGCAAGATATGCCTTTTACCATATATAATTATTGAAAGCAATTAAGTGTGATAAATAGTTGAGGAACACTGTCTTTTATGTAAATCGCAATCGGTACATGACATCGAATAACATCATGGAATATTTATTTCTTATACACCGGAATGCTGATAGCACAACTATTTTAAGCTCAGAAAACGGAAATTCCCATCTGCTATTACTCCAAGCATGTTTATATTGAGGAATAATTTTATTGAAAAATTATATTTTGACAAATGTTGAAAACGTTATGGAGTGTGCTTGTTAACTAAAGTTAAAGCGACTCATTTTAGCATCTTCAAAATTTACTATATGATAAAAATTCTCAGTATTCAATATGATTTATTTTTAATTTAATAGGTTTTTAAAATTTTATATTTAATTTAATTTAAACCTTTGTCTTTGCCTTTATTTAAATTAACTTTACAGACTTCACTTTACTACTTTACTTAACTTTACATACTTACTGATGCTATACTGATTAATGTGTTTTCTTTACTCGGACTTTACTGTACTATATTCACTTTACATTACAGACTTTACTTTTACAATTTACTGCCTTAGCGTTGCATTTACTTCTACACTTTTCAGATTTCACGTCTTTCCTGAACTGTCTTTACATTGAACAAAAAATTCGTTTGCATTCACATTTAATAAGGCCCATTATTGGCATTCATTACAATCAAAACAATTATGATATTTTGATTATTAATTAGACCTATTAGTCTTAATAATTATAATCTACTGCTACTCATAACTCAATAATCATCATTTATTGAAAATGAAAAAATTCTGGCTAAAAAAATCATATGAATGTCTATTCTACAAATAAATATTAAATAGTAGTATAGTAGTAACTAAATCAACTAAATGATAATGTAATATATGTGCTAATGACAATGAACATTAGACTAAATTTTAATCTTTAAGTTAGAATGTAGTACCATTTACTGCCAACCAGTAAGCTGCAATCAGAAATCTGATCTGCTTTGTGTATGTCATAATATGTGCTGTACTGCACAGAATAGTCATACTAATTTGTCTATTCTACTTTAAATGAACTAATTTAATGATTGGGACAACTCAGTCATTTTCACTTAGTGAGTCTGTAGAGTGTTTAATAACATTTTCAGTTCATTAAGTAATTCACTGTAACTGTACTAGTGACTGGTCTGGATGGGCCAATGCCTATTGCCTATAGCCTTATAGCCTATCTGAATTTATTTTTTTTAAAGACAATTTAAAAAATTTCTTGTTCAGTTATTCTTACTTAGTTAATTAATTTTTAAAAATAGAAAATTTATGTTAAACTCCCTTCTTACTGTTAATTAGGCCTACATAATATAATGACTTTAAAAGGAATTTAATAAATAAAAATCCCTAAAAACAAAGTTTTTCAAATAAATCCTTGATATGCATTTTTTATTATTTAATTTATATGAAAGTTCAAATGTCCAGCCCGCTTTTACTCTACAGGTTTATTTCACCAACTATTTCCGAAAAACAAAAGAAAGTATGCACCAAATGCACTTTAAATATTTTTTTAAAAAGAATCTCATTTAGCTCAGTTTTCTGGAATTTTTTTGTGTGAAATCAGTGGCATCATATTTCCTTCATCTTTCCCTTGAAAAATAAGAAAAACTGAGTTTTGGGAGTGGGGGTGAAAATGTGAAAGAACCTGTTGTCATCAGCAACAAGTGTATGCCAAGTTCGAGCTTGATAGGTTGATGGGAAGTGGGTCAATTAGCCGTCTCAAGATTTTGCCACCCCGCCAAATACAAAAATGAAGTTAATATAAAGAATTTTTTGTAAAATTAGAATCGATAGTTAAATAGTAAGGGGCTATTTATGCTCACTAATAGTGAGCTACAGTAAAACTCAACTTCGTTACTTAGTATTACAGTAATTAATTAGTAATACTAACTTTGTTACATAAAAAACTATTCTACACTTGATTTAATATAGTTTTTGTATTGTTAATCAATGTTCAATACCCGGTTGTCAAATTGAAATCAAGGATGAGTTTTATTCTTAGTCTCATATTAGTTTTACTAGTTTTGTGTGTTTGAATTATTTGTTTTTCATTTTAATTTTAAATGAAAATGGGATAATTTATTCGAAGTATTTGAATGACATTGAATTATTATTTATCTCTTATAGGCTTTGTCTTGTAAATCACAAGTGTTTCATATATTTAGAAATTGCGAATATTAATTGTTTTAAGGAAACTTTTGATTATTCATGCTATACTGCTTTTAACCTATAAATTCGGCTTATTACATTTCAGCATTTATGGATTCTCTCATGAATGATGAAGACATAAAATATATTTTGGCTCAACAAGATGGAACCTAAAACACCAAGTTTATTAATTCGAAGGCGTTCTGTCCATTACCTACAACCTCTTCATATTCCACCATATGATAAATCGGAGCCTGTTAGGCATATCTCTATCAGAAATCTTGATATTGTATACAACAAGCAGTTAGTAATTGATGAGGGATGTGAGCTTTTCAACAATTTTATTGTGGAACAAGTTCAGAAAAATGCAAAAGAAAACCTTCTTGAAGTGTTAACCATGTAAGTCAAGTTGAATTAAATAACCACTAAAAACACAGTTTTTCCTATAAATCCTTTATAAAATGTAATATCGAGCATGGGGTTTTGGGGGGGGGGGGGGGCCCCTGAAATTTTACAAAAACATGCATACAAGTAACGCACTTTATAAGAGTCCCAATTAGTGCTTCCCTCTCCAAAGGCTAGTAACCGCACATTTTTTTCACACCCCTGCCCTGAACTATATTAACATTTTAAAGACCCATCTACTTTTACCCGGCAGATTTATTTCCATATTTCAGAAAAACAAAAGAAAATTTTAAGTACCAAACACCCTTGCGATATTGTTTTGTATGATTCTCATTTAGTGCAGTTATTTAAAATTTTCCTTCATGTGATCCTTGAAAAACAGGGAAATCTGATTATTTTGAGATTGGGGTTGAAAATTAGAATATGTTTTCATTTGAAAAGAGTCTGCCAAGTTTCAGCTCGATAGGTTGATGGGAAGTGGGTCAATTGCCATCTGAAGATTTTGCCACTGAGCCAGCCACCTACGAACAAAAGGGAATTTATATAGAGGATTTAAAACGAAATGAAAATGAAACTATTTGCCTTTATTTCCATCACACAGCTTGAACACAGTCCTTCATTTAATATCCTTTATGCTGTGCTTTCCAATTAATTCTGTTTTTAATGTTAAGGGAGAATGTGTCACATGATGAATTGATGGAAAAAGCTATAATTGATTAACTGGGGATCACTCTTCTAGTGGCTACATTTGCTTGTTAATTTATATGCTTTGTAATAGTACTTTAACATAAATTTCATTAACCAATCGAAAGGCCTTATGGACATAATAACAATTAAAAATTTAAATGTTCAGACTTTGCATCAAAATAGTGCAGTAGTACCGGTACTTATTTTTGGGATACAGAGAAAATATACTCTTACACAACTAAATATTACAGTTACAGACTGCACCCCATTTTTTTTTTTATTTTATAGATGAGTTTAAAAATAAAAAGTTATGGGAGTTAAACACCAAAAATGTGAAGCTCGGTGCAGCTAAAACTAAATCGATTATTTTATAAGTTTTTGTGTGGATTTGTAAAACTTATGATTTTGAATATGTTTATCTATATATGTTATACAGGTATGTATCTTATTTCTTCCTAATTTTGATCTAAAATGTTTCAAACAACTTTATTATTTGAGATTAAGCTTAACTCACTTTATGTTTTTAAATGGCTTTATTAAAATTGAAACTTTATTTTTGAAACTCACATTCACCATTGTTTACGAGGTAATTTTTATTATCAACCTACTCTTGACAAAGTCAAATAATTTCAGAATTCCTCAAGGATACAAACATTTAAAATGGGCGAAGGATGCAGCAAGTCTCAGAATAATGGCCAATAAATTGTTAGCAACATGTGATAGAAAAAAAATTAAAGAAGATGCCACTAAGGTATGCTTTAAAACTGAAACAAATTAATTACATTAATAAAAGTGCATTAAAAAAAATTCCTTGTTTTTCTTTTAGTTAGTGACATAAGCAGCATTTTCTTAGGAAAAAAGATTTCTCCACCTCCCTTCAAACAGTTCCTAATTGTTTACCCCCCCCCCACCCCCTATTTTAGCTACCCCCTCCCCTCTCTCTTTCTTCCCCTCATTTATGGTCTCCATGAAATATCCTTTGTGGTCACAAAAAAAACACTATTCTAGATCATACATTGGCCTATAATCTTAAAGCGCAGGTAGTTAAGATTACCATAAACTATGGACTACATACATGCAGCCAGATATATTATTCACAATAATGCTGAGAGTTAATTTTTTTGTGTACTACAGACTTTGGTAATAGATTATTGAATCCAATTAAATTACAATTTTAAAATAGTTTTCACTCAAGAATTAAACAAAACATTTACTACAACAATTTTTTTTTTTTCAGATGGATGCTGACATCAGCAAAGACCAGTATATAAGAAAATTAGAAAACTTACTGCAAGATGGAGAAATTACTGCAAACAAAATCTTGCTATTGTTTTTCTTTTGTTCAGATGCAGCAGTGCATGCATTGCCTTTGAGCTGGGAACGTTTTTCCCAGATTTTCCAGTGGTCCATACTTTTCATATCTGAACATGTGTGTCTATTCGTCTATGATACTGGAGGTTGGGTAAGCCACGAAAATGTTACAAATATTTGTTAAAAGGCTACAATATGTAAGGAAACAGTACCTTTATTGAAGTATTTGAAGTAAGATTTCTTTAAATAACTATTCTTTTGGTCCCTTAGCATATATGAATAAACATATCTTACAAACATTTGCCAACATCCTAGTTTTCTTCCTTCCACTTTAAAAAAAAATAATTTTTTTAATTACTTTTAAATTTTTCACAGAGCAAGGCTTTTCCCGCATCCATGAAAACTTCAAACAGTCAAGTGTGGTTAGCCTCAGCAGGATTTATTTTTATTATTCTATGTAGTTTTATACGACGGAAAAATGTCTGAATTTTCTCAAATTTGTTGATGAAATATTTTTGTCAAACTATAAAAAATATTTTGTTAAACTATTTATGTGAATAATTGTGGCCTATTTCTACATATATTCTTTACCACCAGTGCTTTGTAAAAAATCAACTGTTTTATTATATTGTGCTAAACAATATTAAAGTATTACATCAAGAAAATGTATGGTAGGATCTTCCTGACTGCTTGTAATACTGTAATATTTTGAAAGTGACATGAGAATATAAAGGCCATATTTAAACACAGAGAAGAAAATAGAATGCATTTGTAACTTTACACATAAGTCATGGGACTTTCAGATGATCACCAAAAGAAGATTTCATATTGTTAATATTGAAGTGGCAGCTTTTTAGCACTGAGATATTATTATTAAAAGGCAGCAATAATATACCAGAAAGCAGCATAAGTTTATTACTTATCTTGACTATGGAGATTCTTCTTGATCCTGCTCAACATGTATAATAACTTTGTATGTCTTCTGTAATAGTTCTGAATGTATCACTTTTCTTAGATTATTTACCTGATTTAAATGTTCAGCATTTCTATGAAATATCTGATGTTATCACCTCAAATGGTTTGTCCAAAATATGTGATGTTATCACCTCAAATGGTTTGTCCAAAATATGGAGGCTAAAAAAAAAAAATCATTAAATAGATTATGACATAGGGATTTCTACCAGATGAATGAAATCAATAATTAAGGAACAACCTTATTTTAGATTTAGAGCCAAGACTTCATAGGTCAGTCTCTAGTTTTGAAAGTTATTGTCTCTGTCTGGATTGCTTTCATCCAAAACCTGTAGGGAAAAGACATGAGAAAAGCTTTGAAATCGCTTTTGCTGCAAATTGATATAAAAGATAACTGGACTAAAAATTTAATGTTTTATAAATGTTGAAAGACCAGAAAGTAATTTTCATTGTGCTTCGTATTATTATTATAAATTAGTTAGTAGTATGATCTTAATTTCTTCTGTGATTTTGGATGAAACTTAAGAAATGGGATATATGCAAAAAAGATTTGAAAAATAAACATAACAAACATAAAATGTGTTTTTGCACTGACTTTTTTTTTATTTCCAACAAGTGAATGATACAGTGAAAAGAACTTTAATGTGATTAGTTCCTATAAATGATTATTTAGTTTTATTATTAGAGGAGATAACATGAAGTGCTGGTGTTGTTAAATATGCTTATCAAACTCATCCAACTGGAAAACAGGAACATCTTGGACATTTTTAATTTTTTTTACACTGCATTGTATATAAAATTATATTACAACATTTTTTTCAAGATCTAATTGTGCTGTACTTACATTGTTATTTTAATCGAGATAAATATTAGCTTTTGTAAAAAAAAACGTTTGGTAACAAGGTGCTCTAAATATAAAATTCCTCCTCATGTCCCTTAGTCCTTGGACCATTGGGGCACCACAGATGACATGTGAACCCATTCCTCTCTGTCTTCAGCACTACGCATATAAAATTAAAAATTTTTAAAAAGCACAGGAAACCATTGTACCAAAATAGTACTATTTAATGATTTTCTCTATGTAATATCAAAGTGTTGTTAGATACTTTGACTATTTACTTGAGTGAGATTACTACGTAAATGATAATTTTCAGATTTTATGGATAGCTTGGTTGATCAGCTTGTAAGTTGTAATCCAAGTATGTCATTTGCACTAATATGGGTAAATTTTTTTTATCTCACCCATTAAAATTTTTATTTGAAAAAAAAGCTACTAGCTTTTTTGCTAAAATGTTAGTGATTTATGAAGATGAGAACAACTACATCCAATTAAAATAAAGGAAAAATATTTTGAATTGTTTCTGTTGGTCCACCAAAAAAAAAATTAACATGGATATGAAAACACTTGAATCCCTGAAGTGCAAGGAGAGAAGATTTAGTCAACAGACATGGAATGGATTCAGTAGAATTTACATTTGGCTTAGTTTTTAGTTTTAAAATAATGCAAGATGCACTGGAAGACAAAAAAGGGGTTTACTATACAAGGATGATTATTTAAGAAAAGAAACTTAATACGATGTAGTGAAACAATGAGTATAACAAAATCATTCATCAAATAATTAATACATTTTTGGTGCAAGAAAAAAAAATTAACTCTTTTTATATAAATAGTTTGAGTAAATACATTATCTGTGCTTTTGAACACAATAAAATGAATAAGGTTTGATAAAAGGTCAAAAAAGGAAATGACCCTTATAAATTTGAATAACTTATCAAGGCACAATGTGTCAACTTTTAAACTAATATGTTGCCAATATTCTGCTAATTTCAGTTATCAAAATTTGAGGAGTCATTACTATTGTCATGATTATTTTAATGAGGGATGCATTCATATTTATTAGTGGGGGTAAGCAATATTATTTAGAGCTGTCTTTTTAATTGCTGTGAATACATTTTTTTGATGAATTTAAAAATGAAATACAAACAATAACTTTAATGGTATTTTATTTCACCAGAGATTTTTCTAATCACTTCTAGTCTGAGAATAATGATAGATAGTCATGGCCAATGTTTAAAATACCAAGTCACAAGTACTAAAACATCAATTCAAAATGAAGATAAGGATGATCAATATTCGTCAGATAAGAAGTCTTCCTTAAGTGATTTATATGTCATTACCATCAGTTATTGATGGGAGAGGTGCTCATTATAAACTTAAAACATCAAACCTTATGGATAACATTTTAAAAGGACAACCTATCTTAATTTTATTTGTAAAGTATATTACAGCCAGTCTTTCAGCTTTCTTAGACTTTATGACACTTCTTATTTTGCTGTGATAGTTTTATCAAAAAACTTGCCAGACATCTAAGGTAAATTCTACGAAACTTGTTTAAGTGGGCATCATCTTAAAATATTACTGGCCATTTTCTGTCCGTAGTGTTTAATTCAATCAGATAAATGTTTACTATATTTTAACAGATGTTCAATTATGTTAGTATATGCTGGTCAAGCAGAAGATCTTGTAATTGAGAGCAAGAACCATGACACCAACTCAACCAACGGATGAACTCGTAACACTAAGTATCATGCACCTTCCCTGGTCAACAATATAAACTATCAAATAAAAATCTTGAGTCACCAAACAACTGCATAGCTGGTAATGATTTGATAACTAAGAAACGGGGTGAAATAAAATTATGAAAAATTAAAACCTTAAGACTAATGATTTATTTACAGATGCTTGATGGCATTATCTATATAATATAAATACCACTCTAACAAACCAAACCAGCTAGACTATAAACACTCAGCTTAACTAAGTTCTATAACAAAGAAAAGTGCAACATTTACATAGTCATAGAAGACACAAAGATAGGAACAATGAGTTGAACAAGAAAATGTGACATGGATAGTTTGGTGTCATATTACTTTCACGTTATTATAAATGAGAACAGTAAACCTCAGTATTCTTGTCTAATGGTTTTTACCTTGATGGATACAAATGTATTTAAATCTATCAAGGTAACACCATATATATATATATATAAAGATAGATAGATAGATATAGAATTTGAGGCACATTTATAGTTAGTTATAAATAGGCGTTAGAAAAATAAAACTGGCTAGTTTATTCCTAGATGATATAAATATTTGTATACAAACTCCACATACTGCTAAGCTTTTTAAAAAAAACACAAAAACAGTGCAATTCATATCTTCTATTTCTTATTTTCACCCATTAACTTGCAGCCAATTTTTTTAAACATATCTCTTTTCTTCAAAAAAATCTTTAAGCATCTGGTTCTGGTACGGTACATTTAGATTTATAAAAAAAGAAAATGAGTGCACATCCGTCAGTGAATCTAGATACAGGTTCAACTTACATTTTTCCATTGGCAAGAAAAGCAATGCATGTGTGTCAGTTATTTTGTGTTGCATTAACTGATTAAAAAATGTGACTAAATTTATGTGAAAAATGTGAGGCTAATTTTTAAGAAAAGTCATAAATATTAGCGTTGACATTTTTTGGTAAAAATGTTAAATTATATTATTGGAGATTTGGTGAAATAGATGTATGGTTATATTTTGTGTTATTTGGTACCTGTACTAAGAAAGTGTTTAACAAATATGGAAAATACATTAACTAAATGTACTGAAAAGTTGTAAAGATTAAATTACATTTCTGGAAATAAATTTTCAAGATCATTTTCAGCACTTTAACTTAAGTCATCATACAAAAAAAATGTCCAAATTAAACCAACAGTTTGAGAATCCTGCATAGATTGGTAGATTCTATCTACATCATTTACACAAAGTATATTTCTGATATGAAAAAAGTTTAAGAAGGGACATTTCTCGCATTTGAATAATTTTACATGAAGAGTTTAGACAAATGCTGTAAGGGAATGTTAATGTGCCACATAATTCGGACCAACATATGTCAACAAAAAATGAATTTCCTTAACAAATACTTTACATATAACATTATTTAGATACAATAAAATTTAACAGAATTACTTAAATAAAAATGAAACTTAATTAGTATGTATAAATAAAATGATGCACTACAGAAAAATACTCTAAAAAAATAGATTAAAATGAATGCTCATCTTTAAATAAAAGGCATAAAATGATGTATGAAAGCCAACCTCTTATATTACATGCAAAAACTGGTCCATAATAATTAAGTATATTGGAGAAGAGTTAAATTATCATAAAAAATTGCCTCAGTTTGTAAACAGTAAACACAATGTTATTGTTGTTAACATGTAAGACTGCAAAAAATACAGTAAAGTTTACCAAGAAGCAAGGAGTGCACCCTGTTCTTTTATTAAGTATTGAATTGTAAAAAATTGAAATCATTGGCAACTTGGAAATGACATTGTCATTGAACCGGACAATATACTTTATTCTGTGAACATGTCACCATTCTAGTGAAGTAAAAAAATATAACAAAGATTCTAAGTTGTACACAAATTTTTGGAATTTGAACTATAAATTAAGTAAATATTCTTCAGTATGTGTTTCCTCTAATGCTGGATTTGAACAGGTGTTAATACTGTAAGACTATTATTCAATTGAATAATATATAAAATTTGTAACACACTTTCCCAAGTGATCACAGCTACTTACCATTTCTATCTATACATTTAGAGATAAAAATGTTAACACCACAGGTCTTTGAAACTTGTATCTACTTTGCCATGAAAGAGAATGTTTTTCAACATATACAGATGACAGTTCTGTGAGTGGTCAAAGATATGAAGCATTAATTAGAAAAATGAAGATGCAGTATAACAATAATTTGAGCTGGAAATTTAGCAGAAAATATAATTTGCCAGCTTCTCTTTTCTACCCCCAAATCTCATCGCTGTTGTAACAAATTGTCCATTTAATTATAAACTCTTACTGAAATGGGGTTTAAAAGTCTATTTATGTTGTTTTTATAACAAAATTGTGACATCAAAAGTTCAGCAAGTGCTTTGATTCCACAAATTTTAACCCAAACAAATTAAGTACTCCTCTTCAAGCAACAATATTGAATACTTTGTTTGACTTGAGCGATTCGTCAATAGGACAACAAATAGTTGAGGGAAGAACCAAGCCATCAATTTATTTACTTTGAACAGCTGACATGGATTGGAAATAAACCATGCTCAAAATGGGTGAAATGATTTCATAAAGATATGTAAGCCATGAATACACTGAAGTGAGATTGGGCTTTCGGTGTGGTATAGCACCCTGCTTTTTTTAAATCATACATGATTTGAATCAACATCTCTCGGCCATGGCATCCTCATAGAGGAGCTCTTCATACCATGGGAAACATAAAAAAAAAAGTAACAATAACAGCTGCAATTATATGTTTATGACTCATGGGTATTCAATATGTCATTTGGGGCAGAGATTAACTTAAACTTGTTTTAATTAGATATTTCTAACACATTTTTCTGATGTCCAACTGGAAAGTTATTGGTGAGAAACTTGCTCTTTCACATGATGGACAGCACGTCAGTGACCACAGTATCATACAATATTTTATTGAAAGAGTGCATTTTCTACCATGCAAACGGTG